TCATTATCATAGCCAGATTTGGCACAGAAATAGGATCCGGAATCCTCGTCCTTGAGGTTGTTCATGGTCAGCGTCACCGAGCTCTGCCCGTTTTCCCTGGAGATCCTGAACCGGCCCTTGACCAATGGCGCGTATGCGGTGTAAGCACCACTGCTCCAGATCCCTGCAACATATTCCAGCCCCTGCCCAGGTCTCTGGCGGATCCAGCACATTCCATAATCCCCAAAACTGAACCCGAACCCTTGGCAGAGGAGGCGCAGGGACCCCCCGGGGGGGTTGGAGATCCCCCCCGCACTCCAGCAGGGTCATGGCCTCTCCCCCATCCCCAAACCTTGGTCAGTTTTGCCCCAGACTCCCTTTGTCTGGCCCTAAATCTCCAACAGATATTTCCAGTATTGTAATGTGACTTCAACCCTGCAATTAGCCCAAATCCACCCATTAATTTATTGGACACCTCTGCCTGACTTTTGCATCGCCTCACGCCCATCTCCCCTTTGTCCCACAGGGCTCCGGGCGGCTGTGACCCTGCTGGACTGCGGGGGAGACCTCCAGCCCCCCCGGGGGATCCCTGCGCCTCCCCTGCCGAGGGTCCAGGTTCAGTTTTGGGGATTATGGAATGTACTGGATCCGCCAGAGACCCGGGCAGGTTTTGGAATACGTCGCAGGCATCTACTACAATAGGGCCTACACCTTACTACGCACCATCAGTCAAGGGTCGGTTCACGATCTCTAGGGACAACGGGCAGAGCTCGGTGACGCTGACCATGAACAACCTCAAGGACGAGGATTCCGCAGTCTATTTTTGCGGAAAATCTGCTGGTACTTGTGATGGTGGTGCTGTTGCTAATTAAGGTGATGATGATGGCTGTGTCCCCATCTCCGTGTCCCCCCCCGTCCCCGTTCCCCAGACCCTTCCTCCAAACCCGCAGCCCACACCCAGCCCTTGACCATTGATCCCAACCTTGCTGTGCCTCGGCCCAAAATTCTCACCCGCTGACCCCAAACCACAACTCATGACCCCAAATCTCCACTTTGTGCCCCAAAACGTTGCTCTGAGGGCCGGAGTTTGAGGCCCTGGGTCCCGTTTGCGGACAAAGGTTCAGGCCTCGTGTCAGTGGCTGTGGCTGGGAGCGCTAAGTGGGGATTTGGGGCAGAATCGAGTGAGTATTATTGCCAATTTTGTTGGATTTGGGGCAGAACCAGTTTACGGGTTTTTGCTTCCTGGTTGGTGGTGTTGGAAATGGGGGAGATCTGGGACAAGGGGTCAAGAAGGGGCGAAGGGCTGAGATTAGGGGGAAGGGTCTGGGAACTGGGGACATCAGAGGACACATTCAAGGGGTTGAGGCCAAGAGCAGAGACATCATTACCCCAACCAGCACCAGCAGCCTTGGCACAGAAATAGGATCCGGAATCCTTGTCCTTGAGGTTGATCATGGTCAGCGTCACTGAGCTCTGCCCGTTGTCCCTGGAGATCGTGAACCGGCCCTTGACCGATGGCGTGTACGCGGTGCTTCCACCACCATTACTGATATCTGCAAAGCATTCCAGCCCCTGCCCGGCTCTCTGGCAAATCCAGAACATGTCAGAACTGCCGAAACTGAACCCGGCCCCTCGGCAGAGGAGGCGCGGGGACCCCCCAGAGGGCTGGAGGTCCCCCCCGCACTCCAGCAGGGTCACGGCCACTCCCCCATCCCCAAACCTTCACGGTGTTTTGGCCCCAAACTCCCTTTGTCTGGCCCCAAATCTGAAACAGAGATTTCCAGTATTTTAAAGTGCCTTCAACACTGCAATTAGCCACAATCCACCCGTTAATTAATTGGACACCTCCACCTGACTTTTGCATCGACCCATCCCCATCTCCCCTTTGTCCGACAGGGCTCCGGGCGGCTGTGACCCTGCTGGAGTGCGGGGGGCACCTCCAGCCCCCCGGGGGGTCCCTGCGCCTTCACTGCTGAGGGCCCGGGTTTGATTTTGGGAAATTTGCCATGGGCTGGATGTGCCACAGACCCGGGCAGGGGCTGGAATTCATCGCGGCGATCTGGGACAATGGTGGTTGGACTGGGTACACGGATTCGGTGCAGGGCCAGTTCATGATCTCCAGGGACAACGGGCAGAGCTCGGTGACGCTGACCATGAACAACCTCAAGGACAAGGATTCCGGATCCTATTTCTGCGGGAAATCTGCCTATAACAATTGGGGTACTGGTGCTGGTGTGGATCGTTTTGGTCCGGACCCTCTGGCCGTGTCCCGACCGGCCCACAAATCCCAGAACCTTCCCTAAAACCCAAACACTTTTGCACATTCCGTACTCTGTCCCAACCCTAGAGTGGTTCTTCCCCAAATTCTCCATAGCTGCCAAGAAAGGTGACCCAAGTCTTAACCTTGGCCTTAAATCTCTACTTTTAATTCAAAGTCTGGGGCACAAAGAGGAGATTTTGGGTCAGGAGTTGTGGTTTGGTGTCAGCGAGTGAGAATTGGGTCCGAGGCAGAGCAAGGTTGGGATCAATGGTCAAGGGCTGTGTGAGGGCTGGGGGTTTGGGGGAAGGGTCTGGGCAACAGGGACAGTGGGGGACACGGGGATGGGGGGCACAGTCAAATCTATAAACAACACCAGCAGGATCATACCAAACATTAACAGATTTGGCACAGAAATAGGTGGCAGAATCCTCGTCCTTGAGGTTGCTCATGGTCAGCGTCACCGAGCTCTGCCCATTGTCCCTGGAGATCCTGATCCGGCCCTTGACTGAGGGTGCATAGCCGGTGCTGGAACCATCGCTCTAAATCCCCCCGAGCGACTCCGTCACCTGCCCGGCTCTCTGGCGGACCCACTGCATCCCAAAATTCCCAAAACTGAACCCGGACCCTCGGCAGAGGAGGCGCAGGGACCCCCCGGGGGGCTGGAGGTGCCCCTCGGACTTCAGCAGGGTCACGGCATCTGACTCCATGAGTCAGAATGCTGAAAAATTTCTCTATTAAATCTCTACTATATTACATTGTTATTATATTTTATTACATTATTACAATATTATATCTCATTATTAATATATTACATCTCATTAATAATATATTATATCTCATTAATACTATATTATATCTCATTAATACTATATTATAACTCATATATACTATATTATATCTCATTAATACTATATTACATCTCGTTAATGGAATATTGCAACTTATGAATGCTATATTATATCTCATTAATACTATATTATATCTCATTAATTCTATATTATATCCCATTAATACTATATTACATCTCATTATTGCTCTATTATATCTCATTAATTCTATATAACATCTCATTTATGCTATATTATATCTCATCAATACTATATTATATCTCATTAATACCATATTAAATCTATGCTAAAGGGATACTAAAAGAATTCCATACAAAAGACATGAAAAAACATTAAAGAATCCCCGTGAGAGTCTGACAGAGCCAGGTCACGGCTTGGAGCCCATTGGCCAAGGAAACAAAACAATCTGCAGCAGAACCCAAATGATGAATCCCTGGAGGGGAACAATCCCCCGGACACATTCCACACGCGCAGAAACAGCAGGAGCAGCGAGGAGAGATGGGAATTGTTTCCTCTTCATCTTCTCTCTGTGCTGCTCCAGGAAAAATCCTGTGACAGAAAGAGAGAGACAGAGAGAGAGAGAGGGAGAGAGAGAGAGAGACAGAGAGAGAGAGGGAATGGTGTCTGACTCTGTGCTGGGAATGAGAATGGCACAGCTGGGCCTGGTGCCCATCTCCCCTTTGTCCCGCAGGGCTCCGGGCGGCCGTGACCCTGCTGGAGTGCGGGGGGGACCTCCTGCCCCCCGGGGGGTCCCTGCGCCTCCTCTGCCGAGGGTCCGCGTTAAATTTCGGGAGTTTCTCCATGTTCTGGGTCCGCCAGAGACCCGGGCAGGGGCTGGAATTCATCGCAGGGATCAAGGACAACGGTGGCAACATCGCCTACGTGCCATCATTCAAGGGCCGGGTGATGATCTCCAGGGACAACGGGCAGAGCTCGGTGACGTTGACCATGAACAACCTCAAGGACAAGGATTCCGGATCCTATTTCTGTGCCAAATGCGTTGATGGTGGTTGTGCCAATAGTGATGGTACTGTTGGTGTGGCATTTATTGCTGGTTCTGATCTTGGTCCCAAATCCCTCCACTTTGTTCCCAAATATCCCCTGGTCCTCTGATCTCTCCACCAAATCTCAGCCCTTTTCATCACATCTCGGCCATTTTACCCCAAACTCTGCCCCTGCATCCCCAAATCCTGAATTTCTCCCAGTTTTTCCCATTCTACCCAAATCTCTCCCAGCTCCCAAGACCTGGTTGGAGCAGGCCTGAACTGGAGCCCAGGGGTGAAGGTTTGGGGCCAATGGTTGAGTTATGGGGCAGGAGCAGGGGAGGGTTTAGGGTCAGTGCTTACCATTGGGGCAAATGGAGACAAAGGGTGAAGGGCTGGGTCAATGGGTGAGGTTTGGGATGAAAAGCAGAACTCTGGGGACTCAGTGATGGGAGTGGGATGAAAGGCAGGAGCTTGACACCATCAGGGGCAGCGTCACCATTAGCAGCAGCACCATAATTATCAGCAGCCCTGGCACAGAAATAGGGTCCGGAATCCTCAACCTTGAGGTTGTTCATGGTCAGCGTCACCGAGCTCTGCCCGTTGTCCTGGGAGATCGTGAACCGGCCCTTGACCGAAGGCGCGTAGTAAGTGGCTCCACCAATGTTTATGTACGCCACGAATTCCAGCCCCTGCCCGGGTCTCTGTCGGACCCAGTTCATGGCAAAATTGCCGAAACTGTACCCGGACCCACGGCAGAAGAGGTGCAGGGACCCCCCGGGCAGCTGGAGGTCCCCCCCGCACTCCAGCAGGGTCATGGCCGCCCCAAGCCCTGCGGGACAAAGGAGAGATTGGGATGAGGGGATGGATTGGCTGTGCGGTCAAAGTTGGCGCTGCCATTCCAGAAAAAGGGTGTGGGATCCACCCGGGATGACTGGCAGCAGTTGCAGGAGGGAGACAGTGAGGTCCAAGGGTCCCAATTTTTTTGGCAACATCAGGATCTGCATGCAAGAATCAACATTTGGGTGGATGTTTTCCTTCATCCCCATCTCCCCTTTGTCCCGCGGGGCTCCAGGCGGCCGCGACCCTGCTGGAGTGCGGGGGGTACTCCAGCCCCCTGCGGGGTCCCTGCGCTACCTCTGCCGAGGGTCTGGGTTCGATTTCGGGAGTGTTGACCTGTTCTGGATCCGCCAGAGACCCGGGCAGGGGGTGCAAGATGTCGCAAGGATCTACTACACTGGAGGTTACACCGACTATGCGCCATCGGTCAAGGGCTGGTTCATGATCTCCAAGGACAACGGGCAGAGCTCGGTGACGCTGACCATGAACAATCTCAAGGACGAGGATTCCGCCACCTATTTTTGTGCCAAATGTTACAGTAGTAGTTGTGGTGGTGGTGGTGCTTGTTATGGTGTTGATGGTGGTTGTGGTCCCAAGCCCTCTCCTCTCTCTTCCCAAATAGCTCAGAATTTTCTGATCCTTCCCCAAAATCCCCACCCCTGTTTCTCAAATCTTGACCATTTCCCCCAAAACTCCACCGCTGCCCCAGCTTTTGGTTTCCCCCAATTTTGCCCATTTCTCCCCAATCTCCCCCAGTTCCCCTCTGTACCAGTGCGGAACGGGGATCGCTCCAGGGCCCTTTGCACACAAAGCTTTTTGTGAAGCCGGCGTGTGGAGGATTTTATTAAGAGTTGGTTAGTTAAGAAAGGCCATACTGACTTAATGCCGCTGGTTAAGCTTGAAAGGGAGGTCAGCAGTCTCTGATTCAGTGACTGCTGACAGGCAAGAATGCCGGATGGCCTTGCTGCAACATGAGGAAAGGGAGGTGAGATTAGTCCTGAATATCTGCAGAATGTAACAGAAGAATAAGCACAAGAATGTAGAAGTAGGTGTAGTTGCTGATATGTAACTAACCAATCCTGAGCTCAACTTTTGCAATATGTATGAAGCTTATTAAGAACCATATTTAACCCGCCGTATTCGATCAATAAATTGGACTTGGATGAACCAATTGGTGTCTGGGTCTCCTTCCTCCGACAAATGGTGGAGAATGCGGGCAAAGGCAGCATTCTGAACGTTCGCTCTCTTGGATTATAAATTCGCCACGGTCGGGGAAGTTGGGTGAGAGTCCTTGCAGCCGGGACGGTGCCGGATTTTAAAAGCACCCTTGAGGATTACAAAAGGTATCTCAAGTCTCTACGTGTCGCAGGAAGCCTGGAAGGGCTGCAACAGCGCGCGCTGATATATAGGTATGGATAGGCAAGCGACATACGATTCCTTCTCCTCATATTTAGAAAGGCGAGGAGTAAAAGGGATAGATTTAAAAAAGGAATTACCAGGGTTATTAGCTTATGGTTATTCTAAAAGAATTTTTGCTAACCCACATACAGTTCATGAGATAGTAGAGTGGAAAAAGTTTGGGGATATCCTGTGGGATACGGTGTTAGATGATGATAAGTCAGCAAAGAAATTTGGCAAGTTATGGCGGGTGGTGTATAATACGTTACTTCAGCAGGTCTCTGAGAGAAAGGCAGCAGAAAGGGCAACAGAAGCTCATAAGAGGAATATAGGGTATGGTCGTGAGGATGATCCCTTAGCACCCTCTGTAACTCAGATATTTATGCCTAAGGGTCCCCAGCAAAATGGTGTGGAAAATTTTCCCTTAGATACAGTGGAACCATCTGCACCCTTCCTGTCAGAGGGGGAGGGCGATTTGGATGGTGGGGGTCGGAGCAAGCCAGCTTCGCCTCCGCCGCCAGCTTCAGGCGAGTTGGATGGTGGAGGTAAGAGCAAGCCAGCTTTGCCTCCGCCGCCAGCTTCAGGCAAGTTGGATGGTGGAGGTAAGAGCAAGCCAGCTTTGCCTCCGCCGCCAGCTTCAGGCGGGTCGGATGGTGGGGGTGGGAGCAAGCCAGCTTCGCCTCCGCCGCCAGCGTTGCCTCCGCCGCTTCCCCCGAGCAGGCCGGCTCTGGCGGGGGGGCCGCTTCCCCCGTGCGAGTCGTCTCCGGTTTCACTGTCAGCTCCAGCAGCGGGGGGGCCGCTTCCCCCGCGCTGGAGTTAGCTCCTGCTCCACCGCCTTCCCCGTACGAGAGCTCAGTCTCGGTACCGAAGTGCCAGCAGCATAGCACCCTTAAAGAGTCAGATCCCATCCCAGGGGCACACCGTGATCTATGGGGGGAGATGGCTAAACAGAGGAGGGAAGCTTGGGCTGCTGTGGCAAAAGAAGTAATGCAAATGGGGGATGGCGAGGCGGTGGAAGTAGCTTCTAATCTTGCATGTCCGGTTACATACACACCACAGTATGATGCACAGGGGAACCTTACACATAATATAGCGGAATATACTCCCTTAGATTGGAAGATGTTAGCTCAATTACGTTCTACGGTTAGTTTGGAGTAAAAAGTGAACCTGTTAGGCAAATGCAAGAGTGTTAGCTACTTTAGGGGCAAATTGGACTATTGAGGAAGCTTTAGAGCGAATGGCATTAATGCCAACAGCTTCACAGGCATTTATAGTAGAAACTTTAAAGGAATTAGGATTAGGGTTACAAAGGCAAGCAGAGTCTACTCAAAATCAGGTGTTAGCTGCTCAGAATCAGGTGTTAGCTGCTCTTGCTCCTCTCCGAAGCGGCTCACTGGCGGACACGCAGAGCTCGAGACCATTCATCAAGTGTTTCCGATGGGGCAATGAGGGACATACGCGCCCAGACACAAGTTGCCGCCGTGACATCGGAGACACCAGCTGCCGACGCAACATCGCTGTCACCTCCTGTCTGCAACCGCAACAGCAGGGAGCCTCGGTTTGGATTTATCAGCAGCAGTAGACGTCACACTAATGACGAACAGGCCTGAGAGGATACAAACTGGAGTAAAGGGTCCTCTTATATTAAATGGATAAAGATGTGGAGCATTGTTATTAGGACGTTCTTCAATAACTATGCTGGGATTCATTGTATTGCCTGGTGTTATCGATGAGAATTATACAGGGGAAATACAAATCATGGTTTACACCCTTTATCCTCCTATTAGAATAACAAAAGGACAATGCATTGCACAATTAATACCACTATCACAAATGACATCTGGTATACTATCATTTACTGGACAAACGCGGGATGAAAAAGGGTTTTGGCTCTACTGGTGTTACACTTTTAACTGTGGATTTACAAAATAGACCAAAACAAAAAGTGGAAATTACCCATGGACATCAAAGCATAACCCTTTATGGATTATTGGATACAGGAGCTATTACAGCTTTTACAGATGCAGGAAAGAAATCAAGGCGTGCTGCTGTCACCTGGCAAGAAAAAGGACAATGGAAGCATCAACTTCTTACAGCAGATCCTGCAGATAGTTTACAAACTTTGGAATTGTTGGCAGTAGTATGGGCAGTGTCCAACTTACAGGAGCCTTTAAATGTGGTCACAGACTCTATGTATGTTGCCGGAGTAGTCAGACAAATAGAGGAAGCAGCAATTAAGGGAGTGAATAATAAACGATTGTACGAGTTATTGATACAAGTAAGGAAAGCTTTACGAGAGAGAAATGCAGTGTATTCTGTGATTCATATTGGGAGTCATAAATGGTCTGAAGGTTTAGGAGAAGGGAATGAACGTGCAGGCAAATTGGTTACTTTACCCATTGATAACTCTTGTCCTATTGACAAGCATACATTGGCCAGAGAAGCACATAGCAGATATCATCAAAATGCAAGAGGGCTTGCAAAACATTTTGAACTGAGTTTATCAGAAGCTAAAGCCATTGTTAGAGCATGTCCAATATGTAGTTATCATAATGAGGGAATAGGTTTAGGCATGGGAGTTAATCCTCGAGGTTTGGAAATAAATGAAAAATGGCAAATGGATGTTACACAGGTACCTAGATTTGGTAAAGTTAAGTGTGTGCATGTCACTATAGATACATATAGTCATTACATATGGGCTACGGCTCAGGCAGGAGAAAAAGCTACACATGTTATCAGGCACCTGTTAAGTTGTTTTGCTGTTATGGGAGTCCCAAAGAGTATCAAAACAGATAATGGTCGAGCTTATGTGAGTGCTAGGGTCCAGAAATTCTTGAATCAGTGGTCTGTTAGGCATGTGACAGGTATTCCACACTCTCCTACTGGATAGGCAATAGTGGAAAGAGCAAATGGTACCCTTAAGCAGTATATTGAGAAGCATCAAGATTTAACAGACCCACAATCATGCTTAGCTAAGGTTCTGTATGTGATCAATCATTTATGTATTTTTGGGGAAGACGATATCCCTCCTGCAATTAAACATCATCCGAGGTCAGGTCAGGAAATTAAAACTCGACTACAGGATTATGGGAAAAACCTGCAAAAGTATTATATTGGGGTCGAGGATATCTTTGTGTTTCCTCACGTACAGGACCTTTGTGGGTGCCTGCTAAGTGGACTAAACCTGTTTTTGATGCAGCCTCTGGTGGACTGTCTCACGGAGGAGGACAAGGAGCTACTGGGGAAGAAACTGTTTCTAGTCCTACGACCACTACTGTTACAGTTGAAGGGACACTCGAAAGTGTTGGACAAAGCACTGACACGTCACTATCGGACGGCCCAGGAGCCGATTGGTTTTATTGACTCATTATCAACTTTTCGTTTAACAAATCCAGCAAAGGAACATTGCCTTGACTGTTATGATCCACATTGTGCTGCCTGGATTGCTCTACGTTGTGGGGGTTGTGATAATACTTTTTGGATAGAACAATCATTATTATGGGATTTGTGGTGCCACATTTGTAAGCACGAGCACACGTGGGGTAAAAGCTGGCAAGATGAATTAAGGAGACAAACAGGGCTAAATGCATATGTAGCTTTAAATCTTTATGAGTCTCCTGAACAAAAAATTCTTGCTTATTATCAATGGGAAGTACAATGTGTTGTAAATAGAATTGAGGTTCAAAGTAAAGTCACGTATAGTCTCTGTAAGGTGTAGAAAA